CCCCTCCTGCCCCTCCAGCCACGGCTGCCAGCTCAGACCCACCGCACAGATGCGGGGCAGGGGGGAAGGAAGGAGGGGGAGAGCTCCCGACCATGGCATGCAGGAATACCGGAACAAACTGGGAGAGGAAGGATACTTGCATGCGTACAGACTGCACAAGGACCGGGATGAAGTGATGGTTGGTAGAGGTAAGACCTCAGGGTGCCTTGTTCAGCCTTCCGTGGAGATAGAGCCAACGCCTCGTCCCATGGGAGTCCTGCTCTGGGAAGCGGCCCCGCGAAGGCAGGTTGCCTCCGGTTTCATTTTGAGTTGAGACACCAGGGTACAGCATCCGTATTGCAGAGGTAGGTGTAAAATTGGGAGCTGGTGGGGGGGGAGAGGGGGAGAGCAGGCTGCGCAGAGCCAAGACCTCTGGCAGTGACCACTGCCACCGTTAGCAGCACCCGCAGCAGAGCCTGACACCGAGGAGGGCACGGGGCACGTCCAGGATGAATCCAGAAAGACAATTAGAAAGAGCCATTGCTAGGCATCCCGCTAGCAGGTCTCCAGCTTGCCGGAGATGTTTGCACCAGCCATAAGGAAGAGAAGGGACGCTGCTCCCCACATGCGGTTTTGCTATAGGGGAAACACCAAGCTTTCCAAAACAGGGGGTTTGTAGCCAAGAGCTGGCCCGGATTCTCTGCAGAAAGTTGGGAGGGCGAGGAACACCGCTACAAACACTAAGCGTGGTCTGAAAAAGGCTTTTTAAAGGTTTCAGAAGCAGCAGAAGCATGAACTTTCAGATCTCTGGGCAGACAAGACAGGTTCCTTCGAAGGCTGGCCGCGAGGCTGTGCCCGTACCTCCGCACCGAGCCGACGGGGGCTCTCGCCAGGAAAGCGATCGGATAAAGAGAATCAGAGACAGGCACCGGGGACCTCACCTACGATCCTCTCGCAGATCAGCGGTGCTGAAAGTGATGGTAATTTCCTTTGCACTAATGTGACCGCTAGATCCAGCCTGAGCGGACCCCAACAACGGGCGAGCGGCAGGAGCTGCGGAAGTCAGCGGGGAAGGAAAAGGACATCGAGACCTAAATGTCAGCAAACGTGCTCGATCACCAAGGAACGGCGCTTTGGGGAACAACGCCTGGGTTTTGGATTTTGTGGGGGTTTTTGTTTTGTTTTTTTTTTTTTGACTGGGAGCCCCTCAAGACAGCAGCAAACGGGTTTCAAAATATATTACATCTTTTTATTGCCAAGCGTGCAGACCATGAAGTGTGTGGGGGACACAACACTAAGAAAAACTACAATTTGAGGGAGGGCAAAGCGGTAAAAATTTAAAAATAAGACTAATCCTTACAACTGCCAACACTTGGGTTCAAAGAATCAATTGGAGGAAGTTTCTTAAAAGTACAGTTCTAAATATGGTGTTGGGCCCCAAACTTTGAAAAGGCCGAGGCTTCGGTCTGGGCTAACGCAAACCGGGTGGGAGAAGAGGAGGAAGGTGGCAGACTTTCTAACACTAACTCCGCGGGGCCAAATGCCCAATTCTTCTTAGCATTTTCTGTAGCAACCAGAAAACTCCCTACCCCAGGAATACAGGGCATGAATAAGCCAGGAGGAGGCGGGCAACCGCTGCAGCACTAGCTGCTGAATGCACTGCACTGGGGCCAAACCGGACCCTTGCAGCGTCCTCGCTCCCAGAGCCAGCCTCGGAGGGGACGGACCGCAGCCGAGCTGCGCGGCTCCCCCGAGGCCGCGGCAGCGCCCGTTCCTGCTCTGACAGAGCGCAGCTGGTCCCTCGGGATGGGATGCTGTGCCGCCTCAACTCTCTCCACCTAAAAGGGGCAGGGGGCTGAAAGCCAGTCCCCCAGGCAGTGGAGGACAGCTCTTCTCAGGGGGTCCCAAGGTAAACGTCCTCACAAGCACAGCGTCTCTCCTACTCCTCTTTGCTACCTCCAGTTCTGGGAAGCAGCATGTACTCAACGCGATCGCTCACTCAGCAGCCCCGGGGCTCCAATATGGACCTCGGGTCAATGCTGGGCCAGCCTCGGTGAAGCCAGCCACGTTTCCTTCCTCCTCAACCAAAACATACCCCTGGTCAGACCAGCACTGAGAAACCAGAGCTCAAGTACATTCTTCTCAGAGAGGGCGGCACAGGCACACAAGGCTGCGCGCCCACGCTGGCTTGGGAAAATGGACTGGAAAGGAAACCTATGGCATTTAAAACTGGTACTAAAGTGCAACAAAAACATCCTAAACCTTTTGAAATAAATCGCAGTAAGAGGGGTCTGCAAAGCTTCAAACTTCCAGTTACTGCAGGGCACCCTTAAAACAAACCCAACAACAACTAGGTAAGAGCAGACCAAGGTGCCCTTTGGTGAAGCAAGGAATACGAAGCCGCCACAGAGAGTTTCAGCTCCTGGGGTCAAACATCATATTTAGAACATTTGGAAAGGAAGAAAGTTAAAGCAAAAAACAAAAATACGATTCTTGAATCTTGCGCAATGAAACAGTTAAACTTTTTGGTGTTTTCAAAAGAATTCCCAACAGACAGCCTGGCATAACTTTATCTGCTTCCTAAGGGAGAGATGCCCGTTTGACCCATGACTCAGGACACCATGTGCACTGGACATGTTCCATCCTTACGTATGTCTCAGCATTCCTCCATTCATAAAAACAAATTGCTAGATCCTTCCTGTTTACTCTTCAGCCTGAAAGGAAAAACCAAAACTGAAGCTAGATGGAAGATAGCCAGAGGGAGGAGAAAGTTTTCACAGACTGGAGGCCAATCTCATCAGCTCCACGAGCCTGGAAAGTGCAATCCTCAGTGTCGCCTCATTTTAACTTTCCTGGCTGGGCTGCCGTCCTCCTCTTCCTCATCACAGTCCTCCGTGTACTCGTAAGACCTTCGCCAATAGTTCTCGGAGCTGAAGTTGCTCCGTCTCCTATGTTTTGGTAAGAGGACTGAGCGCCTGTTCTCCTCTTTATCCATTTCTAGAATCCGTGGCCTACGGAGAGGGAGAAAGAGGGAGTGAGAGCACATCCACAACAGCACTTAGGCATTCCCTTGTGCGGACACTATCTGCAGTTTTGCATACTTCGAGCGATATGACCGACTGTTTCCACATCGCTCGCCCAGTAACTGGGCACTCGGCAGAGCCGGAACAGATCGCCAAGCTGCACCTCCCACGGGGAGGCTGAGAACTTTGCTTCTGATGGTGCAAGTCCTTCCCCTTCCCAGGGCAAGTTTTGGTCTTTGCCTCCACCAGGAATGCTTCCAAAGAGCCCAGTCACCTCTTCTTAAGCGCAGCTTGTGGCCCCAGGAAACACCCCTCGGGCAGAGGGGTCTGTCTCTCCGCAGTTAGCACATTAGCACAGTGCAATTGTTATTTCTGCAAAGCTGCCCCCGCTCTCACCTGCGATCGCTTCGTAGCAGGACTGGGCTGGTGGGCTGCACAGACTTATTTTATCTTAGGTGGCAACTGCCGAGTTCCCCTAAGAGATACCACTATCTGATATCTGTGCTATTTACCTATGTTATACTGGAGTCTTTGAGGCCAAAGGAAGAGAAAAAACATGTTTTTGATACCCTTCCGCTGCAGGAGCCTGTGCAAGCCCCCCCCACCCTGATAAGGTCACATCAGGCTGCAAAACAACTCTCACGGATCTGCAGATTTGTCCTGCATGACCGCTTCTCTAATCATACACCGGCCCACTGCGTGCTCAGAGGTAAGCTTTCACTTGCAGGCTAGTTTCTCTTCTTGATCTATCTTCCCAGTCAGCCCGAGCCCAAGTGAATGAACACTGCTCATAAAGAAGCCATCCCAACCCTCCTCCCTCCAGGACAGGTTGAAACACGGGCTGGGACCGTACAGCAGCCAAGCCCCGGGACCAAGCCAACTTTTGGTTTTTACACGATGTGCAGGCAACGTCGTCTCGATCCTCGGGAAGCTTTGGAATTGGAGAATACCAGAAACACTGCACGACAGCCGGCAGACTGGCTATCGCTCACGGCTATCGGTACGTTCACACAGAGCAAGGTGGTGTTTGAGGGAAGCCTTGCTGCAGAGCTCAAGCTGTCCGAAACCTCACCAAGGAGCTCCCCTGAATGTCAAGCTTATGCATTCACACAGTCTGGTTACACACACAAAAATATACGCATGCAGCTCTGGAACCAAAACAGGTCTAAGCAGCTTCCCAAGAAGGCTTTCACCTTTCCCAGACGGCAAAACCTCATGTTCTCGCCCAAGACTGCTTTCATAATATAGTTTAACGCAGCTGCACAGGTTGCTTGGCAATACAGGTCAAAAATAATTAGCTGCAGGGAAACTATTGTTCTGAATGACTGCATTATCAAGAGCCAGCCAAATGTATTGCTTCTTCATTATGCCACTCACAGGATAAACAATGTAAGCTGCTTACAGCCAGAGCTCAGCCTCCACAAGCCTAGGAGGAACATATAAAGAACCTCATTCTGATAAAACAGATCTGTACACCACAGAAAGCACCCAGGAGGTGCAAACGAGGATGTTTTTAAGTGTGCTGGGCAGCCTCTCTTGTCAGAGGCCAGGGATCTCAGACATGCACTGACCTAGAGATGCCATCCAAAACATCGCTCTTAGGAGAGATCATCCTACCTGTGAGCAGCATCAGGATCTGCTTTGCGATGGGACCGCTTTGGTTTCAGGATCTGGTCCCGGTTGCTTCCCGATAGACGGTCAGAGTTATAACCTGGTGGCAACACAGAGCTACTCAGCGATTTTGTTTCCAATCGAGGTGCATCTAGTCTTGTTCTGCAAATGTTTAAAGAGAAGAGAATTTGCAAGGAGTTTCTACAGAACCACTAGCACGCTGCAGCAGACGTCTGTCCTAGATGCGCTGAAGCAGAACCCTCAATCCCAGCCACACAGCTCAGGAAGAGGGTCAGGACTATTACGCTCAACAGCAAAACAAGCTGCAGCTTCCTGGTACTTGCAGCTTTGCTGCCTTGGTTAGAGGGAAGGGGAAGGCTTAGGGACACCACGTAGTCGTGCGGTGAACGCCAGTGGTGCTGGGCTCACTGCAATCCCAGTTACGATACAGAGTAGAGGCATTAGAGCCCCCGTGAAACCCTACGAAACCACAGTGACTCGACAATAACTCACAGCTCCAGTTAAGCCACCTGCAACGGTGCAAAATTCATCATCACCTACAACAGTAATAACTGCTTCTATCTGGAAACTCCCTACTGTCTCAAGATCTCGTAGGGTCAGGCATTTCTCAGCTTGATTACGAGGTTTGAAGAGTTGAAGTACGAGTCAGGAGAAGGTCTAGCAAACAGAAGCTGCACCACATCTCTTCCAGCAGCGCAGCACCGCCTTGTTCGTGCTGGGATAGAAACACGCTCGATCACACCGGAGAGCAAGCACTGCTCGTCCCAGAGCAGAACTGTTGCTGGCCCAGGCACGACTGTAGCCACGCACACGTGGAGGGAGGCAGCAGGCCAAGCAGCAGGCACGAAAACTCAACGGCGCGGCGTCTTATCACGGCGCTATCACCGTCTCCAAGCACAGCACAGTTACCAGTCTCAACTTACAAGCACTGCTAAAGTCTTATTTCAAAACACAGACTGAAGTCTAAGAATGGGCAAAACCTACTGAAAGGTGGTGCAGGTGCTCCAGAGCTGCCAATTTCAGGAGGATCTAAGCCACTTCCCAGAAGGAAAGGCAGCCTGATATTGTTGCTGCAGCCTGTCTCCCTCCTTGGGATTATGGGTGAATACGGAAGGGGTGTGGGTGAAAGAAAGGGGAGAACCACTACTTGCTCTCTAGTGCTGAACTTTAGCTCCTGAGGAAGGTTTCCACAGGAGAATCCCAACCTAAACTCCCATTAGGAAGCACGTCCAGTTGCCAAGCTTCCTCTCCGCCATCGGGGAGAGCCTCTTCAGTTAACCAGGGCAATGCCAGGCTGGCACACGCGAAGCTGGGCACGGCAGCCCAAGCCTACCCAGCATGCCAGAAACAAGGAACGCTTCCGCAGGCAGCTGCCAGGCTGCGCTAGTCCCCAGCGCCGTCGTCCTGAGCTGTTCTCGGCTCCAGGACTGGACCCAGTCCAGCTAGAACACCAAAGGCATTGTGGATCCTGCCCCAGACAAGTTAGGTGGTTTAAATAACTCTCAAATGCAACAGCAACTACAGGCCTGCAATTAAAACAAACAAACCACCAAATATACTGCAAGGGCAAGGGAACATCAGCCACGCTCTCTCCGTCCACAGAGCAATGTCGGTATGAGCTGCAGGAGCAGGTACAAGGAGAAACTATACTAAAACGGAGAGCAAATTACCTACCAAAGTTCAAGTTAAATAGAATAACTCCCCGATGTAACTGCTTACAAAGAAGTGCTTACAAATGGCAGCATAAGCCCTCTAAAATGACTTCCAAGACTCGCTTGAATAGGTCTCATTTCTATCCCCCGTTACCTCTTTCCGCATCTCACGAAATTGAGAGCGCCCTTCCTCCCCCCCCCGCCTCTTGCTCAAAGCGCTTCCAAACCTTGTTGGCTCCCCGCAGTCCTGCACTCCGATACGCAGGAAACACCGTAAATATCATCACACTACAGCACTGAAGTGTTTATGACCTACTTGGTAACCACACCGCTCTCAAGCATCCTGCAAAACCCAGCCGCTCCTCCAGCTCGCGCAGTTTCATTCTCCTGCTGCTGCCAGCAAAAAACGTCTCTAGAACCACGCGCTCGGAGTAGAGGCAAGAGCAGATCCAGACTCAAACGTCTGGGACCCAGCAGGCTGCGGCAGCTTACTCAGAGCCAAATATCCCGGCTCCAAGCTGCAGCGAAGTTTATGCCACTCTATGACCCAACTGATCTGATCCCAGTGGAAAGCTCGGGGCTGGTTCGGGGCTGACGAAGAGGAGGACGGGGAGTTTTACGAGGCCGCTGGCTGCTCCCAAAGCCTCTCGTGCTAGCAGGCTACCAGCGGAAGTAGCTGCTTTCCTGGTGGCGTAACACGCTATTTCAGACTGCACGAAGTCGCATGATCTGGGACTAGGGAATGGCATTCGCTGCAGCAATGCATGCCGTGGGGATGCGAGCGCAGACAAAGGTCACCGCAGCCCTGCTGCGCATGCATGCACGCACACGGGACCCGGCGAGGAGACGGCCGCCGTCAGAAGGGATAAGCAGCAATTAATAAGCTCTATTTGGCAGCAATCAGAGTGCGCCCTTGGCAAACGGGCAATTGCCATGTATTCACCAGGGCTGCTAAGCTCTACGGAGATTACACAAAAATAATTACCAGGGGGTTTCCACTTTGCTCAAGAGAAAAATCCTGTTGTGGTTTCATTCAGCCTGCCAGTCAAGTCAGCCCATCGCTGTCTGCGTATGACTGGGCAGAGACACTTCTGCTCTAACGCTAAGCAAATCAGGCCCCTAAAATCAGGGGAAGACAGAAGGACACACTGCTGCAGAAGGATGGCTGAGCAAACGCAGCCAATACGGCTCTGCTAGGAGCTAACGGGCCTTGTCTGTTCGGCAGCGACGCACCAGGTCAGCCGGGCACATCTCAGCCAGATCGGTGCTTGCCCAGTTGCACTGTGAGGGTAAGTCGGGCTGGACTGAAATAACACCCTTAGCTCACACAGGCTGGCAAAAGCAAGAGGTAGAGCCAGTTTAAACACGTATGTTAGATATCTGCACCAGTTTGGGCAGCTTTAGCTTATTTAGCCGCGTCTGTCTTTTCAAGGGAACTGCTCCACAGCCTGGGACAGGCAGCTTCTCTATCCCAAAGCCCAACTAAAGCAGCCACAGGATTTGGAGGCGGCTTCCACCGGCCCTCGTCAGCGCTCGCACTGCTTTTCGTTGGCCGCAGTAACCAGTAACGTGAACATAACAGCCTTTTATCGCAACCCTCTCGCCTTAAACCTCACGTGGCAACAACCAACTATCGGGTGGTTTGGTTCTAATCTTTCTTTCTTTCTTTGATCCCACCCTATCACCTGCCACATCTCATCCTGTCTCCTCGGGTCTGTGCTGATTTTGCCTGGCTAACGCCTCAGGGCTGCTGTTTTTCCTGCCTTCGTTTCTTGGGTCTCTCTAACCAGATGTCCAACTCCACTCCACTGGCTTTGTGCCATATCTTCGCAACATCGCCAGACTCGATTTGAAACCAACTAAGCTGTCCAAAGGCTCAGCAAGTCTGAATCTAGACCACTTGCCTGCTAGCCTTACGCCAGCCTGGGCCACAGCTGCAGCCCTGCCCTCATGCCCACGCTTTCGTCTGGGTTTACAGTACTCAAATCATGTGTGTTTTCACTTGCAAGAAGATTTCTTGACAGCAGAATTACTGCTAACACCTTCTAAGGCACAATCAACGTGGGTCAACATGTGGCAGTCACATTTTTTGCTCTCCTAGTAGAAGGAACTGATGAGAGAGAACATTTCTGGGCACAAAAAAAGGTTATGCTGAGGAGTTTGGGGTGGGGTTGGTTCGGGTTGTTTCTCCCCCCCCCCCCCCCCCTTTGGATAAAGAAGTGGGAAAAGAGAAAGAAAAAGAAAAAAAGACTTTTCCCCCCCCCCCCGACCCTTTGTCTGAAGAGGTTAGGAACAGACACTGGCTGATGAAATGCCATCAGCTGACCAGGACAGATCTTCTGAAAAAGGAAGCATGCGACGCAGCTGGCAGAGCTTGACTTCCCAACACCGACTCGAAGGACAAGCTCTGTGAGGCGATCACTAAATTCACTGCATCCGTTTCCCTTCGAAGCCAGCGTCTTCCTCCCTCTCCCCAGGAAATGAAAGCCATGCTATCAAGAAAACTTTGTCTGCTTTACACGAGATTCTTCATCGTAAGCATCGGCTTCAAAGGACCGTCCAGGTAACTCACGCATGTGGGTATCATATGATCAGACACCTGAATACATAGCCCAAAACAAGCGAGTTTGAAATCCTAGCTGTTTGGAGTTAGGCAGCCAATGAAAGCCAGGTGTTTGGACACGAAGAGCGCTTGCAAACCCAGACGTTACAATGAAGTACTGCTGCACAGAGCCAAGAAGTGATTAACTCCGCAGTAACAAGTTCCATCTACTTCCACCGGCCAAGCGATGGGTACGGCAAGACGCAAGTGAGCATCAGAGTGACATCTAACCGAGAGGTAAGATCAAGCCAGCAAGTTAACAAGCAAGGCAGTTTTAAAGTGTTTCTTTAAAAGCACCTTAGGAAACATCACAACACCACATCCAAGTTTATCTTACTGTCCGGAGGGCTTCAACACTTACTTTCGAAGGATGATGACAGCTCTTCTCTCCTTGATGTCCTGTGGTCGAATACAGTGTGTAATTTCATCGGCTGCATATCCACTGACAACAAAAACAAAAAGCCACTGTGAGAAAGATGACAGGCAGAAGCAGAAAGTGGTTGCCAGCCTCAACAACTCAGTTTGGCCAGTCATTTCCTAACTTCCACCAGGAATTCCTCCTCCAAACGCCATTCCCCAGGCACGGGGGAGCTAGACTTATAGGAAGGAAGAAACTTCAGGAAAGAATGAGGACAGTCAGGGTTTTTTTTTTTTTTTTTTGGATTTCCATTTTTTTAGCTAACACAAGAGGAAGCTGCCACCTGCCACAACATTGTGAAGTAAGACACGTAGAAAATGAGTTTATGGAGTTTAAATTCAGCCAATTCACTTACCAAGAAATTAGAGAGCAACGGGGGAAAAAAAACCAGCACATTGCTCCAAAGCATCTTCTCACGCATGTCACCGAGAAAAACCATCTCTCACGGCTGAGATGTGCAGCATACCCAGACACGAACGCGTACCGGAGTCGATGAGATTTGTTAGTCGAGGAGGGGGTGCAGCGGTGGTTAAGAGTCGGGTGTCCCACCGCCCTCACCCGGGCACAGGCGCTGCCATCTCGGCATCCTGGCCCTCCCCGCTACCCCCCACGCGGCACACCCTCAGCCACGACACAAACGTCACCCCGCAGCACAGCCACACCCCAGC